GCCGTCACTCTTACATGATAAGCATTCACCGGTAAATGGCTTGCACTTACTATTACATGAAAAGCATTCATCATTAAACGGTACGCATTAACCATTACATGATAGGCATTCACCATCACATGATAGACATTGCTATTACATGATAGGATTCACCATTACATGGCAGGCATTCAATTTTACATGATAGGCATGCACCATTACATGGTAGGCATACACTATTGCATGATAGGCATGCACCATTACATGGTAGGCATTCACCATAATATAATAGGCATTCACCATTACATGATAAGCACTGACCATTACATGATAAGCATTCACCATTACATGATAGGCATTCACCATAATATAATAGGCATTCACCATTACATGATAAGCACTGACCATTACATGATAAGCATTCACCATTACATGATAGGTATTCATCATTACAGGATAGGCATTCACATCACATGATAGGCATTCAATATTACATGATAGACATTCAACATTACATGGCAGGCATTAATCAGTACATGATAGGCGTTCACTCGTACATGATAAGCATTCACCACTACATGGCTTGCATTAACTATTGCAAGATAGGCATTCACATTACATGGCAGGCAATCACCATTACATGATAGGAATTCATCAGTACATGATAAGCATTCACTATTACATAAAAGGCAATCACCATTACATGATAGGCATTCATCAATACATGACAGGTATTCACCATTGCATGATAAAATATCGTCATTACATGATAAGCACTCACCATTACATGATAAGCATTCATTACATGATACGCATTCACTATTACATGATAGGCATTCACCATCACATGATAGGCATTCACTATTACATGATAAGCATTCACCATTACATGGCAGGCATTCATTATTATACATGATAAGCCTTCACTCTTACATAATAAGCATTCACCACTACATGGCTTGCACTTACTATTACATGAAAGTCGCTCATCATTACATGGTATACATTACAATCTACATTACATGATGGGCATTCATCAATACATGATAAGCAATCCCGATTACATGACAGAAATTCATCATTACATAATATGCATTCATCATTACATGACAGGAATCACTATTACATAAAAGACAATCACCATTGCATGATATGCATTCATCATTACATGATATGCATTCATCATTACATGATAAGCATTCACCATTACATTATAAACACTCACCAGTATATGATAAGCATTCACCAATAAATAATAGGCATTCATCATTACATGATAGGCATTCACCATCACATGATAGACATTGCTATTACATGATAGGGTTCACCATTACATGGCAGGCATTTATCATTACATGATAA